CCCACACACAGCCCGGCCAGCTCTCCAGTCCCAACCTGCAGAGGCCTGTGACGGAGCTAAGCTCTGCCTTGCAGGGACCTGTCGGAGCACGAACTGGGGGAGCTGGGATGGAAAATTTAAAAAGCAGCTAATATCTGCTGAGTCAAGAGGGGAGGAGGAGGAGCTCTGAGCACCTCTATACCTGGGAGAATACCACAGGCAAGTGCAAGGAGACACCAGTGAGGATTACAAGGGCTGAACTCTGACCCATAATGTCTTAAAGGGAAAGGGACCTGTTTGTTCAGCTAAGACTGGAAAGCTGACGACGATGTTCTTCTGAATGGGGATGTCTGGCAGCTGTGCGTAAGAGACGGCCCTTACACCAGCGGACAATCTAAGCAGACAAAGGGTGGGAGGGGAAAACCCAGAGCCACAAGCAGGGGAAGTGACTTGCCCAGAATTGCACAGTAGGTCATTGGCAGAGCTGGGAGCAGAGCCCACATCACCTGGCTCCTGGTGCAGTTCCATATCAGCTAGGCCATACTGCTCCTCCCGGACCACCATCTTCTGGAAGAGGAACAAGTGTCTGAATCCCCAGCCGGCCCATGAGCTCTGCTGAGAGGAGTTTTCTGTTGATGGAAACAGCTGTGGAACGCTTCACAGAGTGAAATCAAATTAACGATTTAGTGCCTAAGTAGCAGTTCTACTAGCGATGGGGAATTTCAGGACTCCTGGAGGCGGGTGCGAATCTCGCTCCAAGTACGAGGATGTTATCTGCAGCTCTCTGGCAGCCAGACCTCCGATGGGGTGGGCAACTGTTTGAAACAATGGGAACGCTCCTGCAGTTTAGACTGGAAGCTCTTTGGCTCAGGGACCATACCAGGCTCATGTCTCTGACCTGGCATTCTCCAACATAAACACATTGCGATGGGTGTATTTAACATCAAAGAACCCTCTACCAAAACAAGACACTCCACTACGCACACTTCTGCCTTTGTGGAGAAGACAAGAGAACACACACACACACGACAGAAGTGTAGTCACGGAACTTACTGCACTGCTGGTAGGCGCTCAGATACCACGGTGGTGGGCACGGTATAAAAACCTTTATAGAATAAAACAGGGACAGCACCTGACTGGCTGATGGCTCTATAGAGAGTTTTATATGGACTACCATGAGGCTAACGGGTGCAGTACTTCTGGAGGTAGCTACTTGTGTGTGAGGCAAGAAACAGAGGCCCTGACCACCAGGGGTCATTAAGGATTGAGCGAGGCTTACGAGTACGGGGCACTGGTCCTGGCTGGACTATTTATAGCAGAGGTCCCCAAACTGTGGGGAGTGGAGGAATGTTGGGGGGGGGAGGGGGTGCGGCAGAGCCCAGGCCAGTCTCCATCAGTGGCAGGAAGGGAGCCCCTCCCAGCCCGACAGCACTCCCAGCTCTGCTCCGGCCCTGGTCCCAGCCCTGACTGTGGTCTGGCTGTGGCTGTGCACCTGGTCCCGATCCCAGACTCGCCCCTAGCTGCGGCCCCGCTCCTGACCCTGGGAGCCACAGCCCTGGCTCCAGGGGGCCATAACCCTGAAAAGTTCAGGGACCAGTGATCTATAGCAAAGCAGGGTTACGTTCTGCTTCCCTGGCTGGCGGAAGCACGGTGCTCTTTTGCTCACTGGCTGGCAGCCCCTGCTGGTATCGATGTAACACCCACGATGCGGGGGTGAGAGGACGTTCATCCCAGTTTGTGCATAAATGGCAGGGCTGTAAAACGCTTCAAGGCTCATGAAAGGCGCATGAGCTGCTCCTAAAGCAGCTAATTCAATTACACAGTAGCACTGATTCTCCGCTCGCCTTTCCAGCAACCACCAGCCCACCCAGCTCCCCCTCCCCTGAGGCCAAGTGCCACAACACCCTGCCAGAGCATGGAGACAGCTGGGGGGGGGGGGGGGGCGGGAAGAGGGGTGAGTGACAGGAAAGTGGCTCTAAGACTGAGCTTTGATCCGTTTAATTACCCCTTTGGGGTAGAAAATAATAATTAAATCTTGACGAGCGGCTTGCCTTTAACAAGCGCTTTCCTAGCTGGTTCACATACTGTTGACGATTGAAACACTTTGTAACCTAGTGTTTAAACTCCCTCCCTCACAGTGAGCCCTGGCTCCCCTTGGGCCCTCGGCACAGGCTCAAGGGCCACATGCCGGCGGGGGGAGGGGAAGGGGGTGTCCAGGAAAGAGCATAGAGCCACCTGAGCTTCTAAGGACAGCTCTCTCCTGGACTGTAGCCCAAGGACTTCAGTCAACCTGCCCCACCCAGTCCCACCCCACCCCCAGGTGCAAGTCAGTCTCTCTCCTCCTGCACTTTAACCCTTCTGGGATCTGAACTCCATATATCACAGGCCTCACTCCAGAGTTGGTGCTGAAGAGCAGAGGTACCTATGGGCCCCAAACCTAGAGGTCCTAGGCCCTTACCAGCTGGCCAGGTTCTGGGGAGAAGGAAGGAATCTCTTCCCCCTGCACCAAGTCACCCACCAGATTCCTCATCCTGACGCTTAACAGCGCCATTCAGTGTATGGACCTCACAGGGGTTTATCATCTCCTCTCACCCTGGAGTCCAGACAATGGCAGGCCAACTAGTCCTGCTTTCTCCTCTGACTCTCACCCCCCTCCACAGCTCCTGAGGTCACCTTTCAAGGGAAAGGTGGTTGGTCTGGACAATGAAGTGCAGAACTCCTTGTGGTTCAGCTCCTGTCTGAGCACAGGATGCTAGTTCTGGCATCACCTAGGGCAGCGGCAGCTGGCTTAAAGGAAAAGCTGGTCTAGTTGGCAGATGCCTTAAGATGTGCTCAGTACACCCTGAAAAGGCTGCCAAGGTCCTGGTGATTGTGGGGCTGTGGCCATAGGCGCCGACTCCGTGGGTGCTCCGGGATTGAAGCACCCTTGGGGAAAAACCGGTGGGTGCTCTGCACCCACCGGCAGCCAAGCTCCCCACCTGCCTTGCCCCAGCTAACCTCACCTCCGCCTCCTCCCCTGAGTGCACTGCATCCCTGCTTCTCCTCCCAGCGCTTGCTGCCGTGAAACAGCTGTTTCGCGGCATAACAAGCTGTGGGAGGGAGAGGGAAGGAGCGGGAATCCGGCATGCTCAGGGGAGGAGGTGGGGAAGAGGTGGGACCGGGGCAGGGATTTGGGGAAGGAGTCCAGTAGGGGCAGGGAGGGGGCAGAGACCTTGGGGAAGGGGTTGGAATGGAGGTGGGGCAAGGGTGGAGTCGGGGCAGGATGGGGGGTCAAGCACCCACTGGCGCCAGGAGAAGTTGGCGCCTATGGTTGTGGCATCAACGGGGTAGACTCCTCATTTGTGCCCTGGCCTTTCATCCCTACCCTCTGGATCTCACCCGTTGCCACCCAGATTTTGGACCTTTCACTGTGTCCAACTTCAGATCAAAAGTGCTGAGTGAAAAGGTGCATGTCTCAACTGCCACGCCTGCAAACTCAGTCTGGGATCCAAAGGCCAAGCTGGGTCCTTTCTGGCATGAAAAGCACATGAGATTCTGCCATCTGAAGTTAGTCAGCCATTCAGACTCTGCATGAATTCAGCTTGCTGTGTTAACTCTGCAGAGCAGACAGGAATGAAAGTAGTAACATCCCACCCACCTTACTGTACCCAATCGAGTCAGCAGAGGTGGCTTTTAATTCACAGTGGCAGATCAGAGGAGTAAGACGGGGCCCCCAATCAGTGTCACGGTTTACACCAGGCTCTCACGTTAAGTGTCTTTCCATTAATGAGGCTGTCAGAGATCCTGCTAAATCCTGAGCCACGAGAGCCACCCCCCCTCCAACTCTGTCTCAAGTGAGAAAACGGTCATTTCAAGCTGCTGTCACAGGGCAACTAGAAGAACCCAGAAACGTGCCGGCCAGCCTCTGACAGTTCTGGAAGGAGCTCATTCCCTTTCGAAACAGTTTTGCTTACAAAGGTGTTTTCTCAATGTCATTGGGGACATTTGCATGAAGATGCTTGGTTTAACTTGTGTCAGATCTGCCGACTTACCCAACCTCTCCCCCATGCCCTTTTTCATCTTCTGTTAACACTGCAGACCCAATGCAGCTACGGGGGAGAGTGATCGATTCCATCTGGACTCATGGATCAACCCCCTCCTGTCCAACAGCCAAAAACATCCCACCACCCTACCTCAAGCAAAGTTTTACCCCAGAAGAGAGGAACCAGAGACTCCATAGAGCCCCCTAGGGACTTGGTCACTGCTCTTGATTTTACATGGAGGATGCTCAGATACTGCAGGGACGGGCAGCCATATGGAATGGCCCAGTAAGTTCCAGTTGCAGGATTAAAATTCTTACACCACTGGGGCTGCAGGCATGCATCCACAGATTGAACACTGACATGTGTTAGCATGAGGAAGGAAGGCCCAGTGCTTGACTCAGCTCCCAGGATTTCTTATTTAGATTGCAATATCACCCAGGAGGGCCAGACGTGGCCCAGAACCTCATTGCGCTGAGCGCTGAATGCACACACAAGGATACACACGCAGGATGGCCATTTAGCAAACACAAAGTGTTTTACTTTTAAGCAGAGCCCATTTGACACGGAAACAGCAGACACACAAAGAAACCGCTCTCCTGCTGGTAATAGCTCACCTTAAGTGATCACTCTCCTTACAGTGTGTATGGTGACACCCATTGTTTCATGTTCTCTATGTATATAAATCTCCCCACTGTATTTTCCACTGAATGCATCCGATGAAGTGAGCTGTAGCTCACGAAAGCTTATGCTCCAATAAATTGGTGAGTCTCTAAGGTGCCACAAGTCCTCCTGTTCTTTTTAAAGAAACCTGGAACCCCTCGATGGCATGTCCTAAGAGGATCGCTTCTCAGGGCCAGACTGCACTTGGGGAAGGAACAATTCTGATCTTGCATGTGTTGCTCGTAACACCACAACATTCACACCAGGCGATGGGGAAGGAGGAGGCCAAGACGCACAACGCCCAACCTCTTGGTAGGAGACCGCAAGCCCTGCACTTACCGTTGTTGCAGTGTCGCACGCAATCCTGGAACACCGCTCGCCACTTGTCCTGCTCCTTGCCGGTCATCACACAGAAGTAGTAGTGACGGGAGTACGGGTGCCAAAGGATGAGAGGAAACTGGGTGGGGCACTTGAGGATCGGGGCATTGCCGGATTTGGGGGTTGTCCCTGATGAAAGAAGAAAGAGAGACCTCGAGTCACGGGCATGTGCTAGAAACATGGCTTGGAACCGGTTAGGCAGGAGGCCCACATTCTGGATCCAAACGCACATCATGGGTGAAAGGTGTTAGACTGCGTGCGACGGAGATCGACCACAGAATGGCTTCCTGCACTGCCCTGCTAAGGGGGCTCAACCCAGACCTATCATATGGGATGTGAGGGGAGGCCAGTCTCCAGGGGCCACTCAGTCCGCTGTAGAGACTGCCGGTAAGGGGCCAGTTAGCAGTAAGTGGGTGCTGCTACTGGACCAGATTCTCTCTCAGTCTCACAAAGCCCTGCCCATACCAGACTGCATTTTAATCCAAGAGGGAATATTTCCTCTTGTCTCATTACTTCCAGCCTCCACTTTCACCGTTTGGTTGCATCCCCACTCTGGGTCTTTGCGTCGCATCAGCCAGCATGAGAAGCCGCAGCCCAAGGGGCTGGCGCCAGCCACCAATGGGAATGTTTGTGTTCCCGGGGCGGGCGCGGGAGCCACACCTAGTCATGGGCCTGGCAACAAGGCCCCCATCTAGATCTGCCCGCGGAACAGCTCCCCTGGAGCTTTGACGAATCAGGGTCAGTGGCATTCCTAAATCGGCTGCCCCAAACTAAGATATCTACTTGCCCCAGTCTCCATGAACTCCAGAACTAGCTCTGGAGACATCCCGAACCATCCCCCACCACCCTTTGGCCTGAAGTCGAGGTGGTGATCCACCCTGTTCTCAAGGAGCATCCCATCAACGTGGTCACCCACTGGAAAAGCAGCAGGGAGTGACAGGCCAAAACAGAGAGGGCAGCTCCACTGAAAAGCATGAGTGGAGTGGCCCCGGGGAGCTTGGAGGAGCAGCTGAAGGGCCCTTGGCGTGTGCCGCTGGATGGAGGATCACACGAAGACTTGTTTTAGCCGTGGCGGAGGGATGGGCACGCCGCGCTCCCACCTGGAATCACCAGATTTTGTAAAGGACGAGAGTCCTGGAGGAGAAGGAAGCAGCAGGGGAAGCAGAAAGAAAGCCAGCCAACTAGAAGCAGACTTCCTGCTGTGGCGTTTACAAGGCCCTTCGACAAGGTCAAACCCGACGGGGTCGTGCTTGCCTGACCGCGCACGGAGGACGGGAGGGTCTCAGCCGTGGGCTGGGAGCACATCTGCACCGTCTCTGTAATGCAGCATTTAGATGGAACACCTTTTTACAGCAAGGGCAATTCAGCTCAGGGTCCTGGCCCCATAACCACCTGCTCCCCCACCTGTTTTAGGGACGTAGGTTCTATCCGCATGGGGTTGACCACTGGCCCGAATCCAGTGCCCACAACTCCACCAGCAACCAAACTCTGATACCCCTTTAGGATGGGAGCAGAACCCTGCCATAGCGCACTGCACTCTGGGGCGAGGAGAAACTGCTGAGCCTTGCAATTTGGTAGGCTGCTCAAGGAGTTTTATGCCTTATCCAACGATACCCTCCAGACAGCTGCGTCTGTCCCGCCCTCTGTACCAACCACTGCCCACTCAGGAGGGCTCCTCCACTGTCCTGGCTCACGCAACTCGGACAGAGTCTAGGAAGAGGCCCTGTTATCCCACTGGGAACGAGCTATTCCTGGCCAGCTTCCTTCAGCCCGACGCCTTTTGAGCCACCCCTGCTCCTGCTGGAATCTTCTCACCCTCCTCCCGGCCCCACCCCCAGTGCTATTTTACACACTGGCAGCAGGACACTTGAATCTCCTTCCTTAGAGGTTTTTAAGGTCAGGCTTGACAAAGCCCTGGCTGGGATGATTTAACTGGGAATTGGTCCTGCTTCGAGCAGGGGGTTGGACTAGATGACCTTCTGGGGTCCCTTCCAACCCTGATATTCTATGATTCTAATCAGACTCTGTGTATTTACACACTGTTGTGCTGAGGCATTTTTCCACAAGGCGCAGCTCAGTCTAGAGCCTGCAGCCGCAGCTCTGCTCTGAAGAGGGGTGTTCCCCCAGCACCCCTTAGGAAAGAGTCCCTGGAGCGGGAAGGTAACGTGTTCTCACCAAGGCATGGGGAGGGTTTCTACAGGTGGGTACCAACTCCCAACCCCACAAGCCTGCTCCTTAAAAACTAGGTCATTCCATGGGATTTTAGAAATCACCAAAGATTCACCTGGTTTTAAAAATCTGAAGAAAAAAAAATTCCATGCACATAATCAGAACCAGGACTGCCCAGTGATGCTGCAAGGGGGTGGCTAGCAGGATGGCCCACCTGAGCCTACCGAAGCCAGCTCATTTCGAGATCACAGGGGGATGAGCTTGCAGTGATCAGGCTTTCAGCGTTGCTCAGCTCCCAACCTGCACTAAGCGCTTTTGAAAACCTGGCACTGAGCCCTTCAAAACGAGCCTTCTTTCCACCTCCCCCCTCACCTTGTCTCCTCCACCCCAGCCCTCTCACCACTCTCCAAACAAGGGGGTGGGAGGAGGAGACTTGGCCAGAGAGGTTTCTCATTTGCTAAGTGAAACAGTTTCAGAGAAATCAAGTGGCCAGCTCTGGAGAGCAGAGGCTAGAAGTGACAGGCTCCCTTCCTGGAAGGGAGCAGAGACAGCACGGAAATAATCCCAACTGCATTCTCAAGGAGCGGAGCCAGGGAGGGCGAGAAGGCACTTGTGTGGGAGGAAGCCCATGCCATGCAAAGGAGTGTTCATGTCTTCATGGCACATCAAGGGACACCAGATGTTTGCACTCCTCCCTACCTACACTTTGTCTCCCCCCTACTTACTTTGGAGCCACCTCTCTGGCTCCTCTGTTCCTTCCAGTGAAGAACACTGAAGCCAGGAGAGTTCGACAGGGACAAAAGGGGACCAAGATCACACGTATCCAGGTCCGCCTCCAGCTCCTGTCCTATAGATGTTGGAAAGTATTTGGGGATAGCAGACGAAGGGAAAAAACACACACGTAAGCCAGCTTGGTATAACAGAGGGGCCAACATACATGACCTGTTCTAGTCCTCCATTATCCCACCCTCCCCCTTTGCATCTGAACGTGCAGAGCACCTGGGAGAGGAGGTCATCAACAGGGTGGACTTACCTGGTAAACTGCTATTGACAAGGTCAAGATACTGGTCCAGCGAGGTGAGGATTTTGTAGCCAGCGCTGTTGAGGACTATTCGAGGCTGAATCCCTCTGTCATAGGCCTAGAGAGGAAGGAGAGTCAGTCTGTGGGAGTGGTTCCCAAAGCTGCTTAAACCAGGATCCATAACAAGCCCATGTCTCTGAAACCCTGTTAAGCAGGACCTGTGCCTTGCTCCTCACCCTTGTTTTTGGCAGGGGTTAATACACTAAGGCTTGTCATTACAGAACTTCTAGCGTCTGATTCTTGTGAAGTGGGTGCGTGTGCACGGGGAACCTGCTGTGGATGTGGGATACTCACTGGTGTGAAAGGTAACCAGGTAATCAGGTGCCTGCAGCCTTGCTGGAGGATTGTGATGGGGGAGAGGAAGCGGTTGTTTTTTGATACGTCTCCCACAGAAGTGCAATATGAGAGACTGCTCCCCGCAGGAGATGTCCCATGCGGGAGGTCAGTGGGCTCCATGGAATTCTACTGCGTCAGGGAGACACGACGTCTCAAGCTCAGCCTTCCCCATTGGTGAAGGAGCGCCCCAGAGCTCAGGACAGCCCTTCAACTGGTGCAGCAGCCAAAGGAAGCCAAGAAGTTGTTCAAAGCTTCCCTTTAGTTCCCCAGCTCTGTGACTCCAGCCTGGCTACTTAAGTCCATTTCTCAACTGGAGGCACCGGACGTGCTCATGGAGGCCTTGCTTTGAAGCATTAAGTGCAGTGAGCACATTGGCTTAGTGTCACTCACGTGCAAGAGCTGTTTGAGAAGCTGTTGCTGAAGACTCCTTGACAGGAGGAGAGCTCCTTTTAGGGGTACATTCCCTGGCAGGCACCCCCTGTGCTGAACACGCCTCCTGGACAACACCACCCACCACGAAGGGGAAAGGGGTGGAGAAGCAGCGAGGGCCTCACCAGTTTGTTCTCGTACAGGACCAGGCCGTAGTTGTGCGGCACGACACTGAAGCGGTTTCGCCACTTCTTGTTTTCCTCCACGTACTGAAAGAGGTTCCCTGAGATGATGACGCGGTCGTCCAGAGGGACCTGCACAGAGCAGGAAGGAGAATTGATGGTACGTTAGACAAACCAAATTCAGGGGAGCCAAACCTCATATGCCAGCTGGGGATCTGGCCTCTGGCCCCATGCCAAAAAAACGCTTAGCTCTTATCTGCATGGCGTTTTCTAGTTAGCTCAAGAGCTAGGTAAGCATGATTCTCATTTTTGAAAGACAGGGAAGTGAAGGCAGAGAGGCAAAGCGACTTGCCCAAGGTTAAACAGCAGGTCAATGGCAAAGCTAGGATTAGAACCCAGGTCTCTTGATTCTCAGTCTGGAGAAATACTCCAAAGCCAAGAGCTGGAAGAGTCCAGTAGGTGCGAACAAACACATCAGACATCACACTTGCCTTCAAAAGCCTCACGCTCATTACATTCCCCCTCCTGCTCCAGCAAAGCGCATTCAACTTATTGATCTGTACCACAGTAGTGCCTAGACTCCCATACAGATCACGTATTATGGTGCCAGGCACGGCACATAGCAAGAAACTCCCCATGTGACCCACAAACCCCTTAATGTCAACTGGCAAGGACATTACAAGAAAATGCTGGTTCAGGTCCATACATTTTGGTTCACCAAAGAATGTCATGTTAGTTTTTCAGTGAAAGCCAGGGTCACACTGGTCATTGATTCTGTTGTGAAATGTAGAGAGAGACACTATAGGAGGAGTTATGTGTATATACTGAAAAGACGTTCTTAGATTCTTATCACAGCAGAAGTGGAGAAACCAGTTTTCTGAGGTTTATTCACTTGTCTCTCTCAGATGTAAATTAAACATTGTAAACGAGGACAGTGGAGTCCCATTTATATAAAGTTATTGAAGTCAACAAGGAAGCAGCACAGAGGCAAAACAAGCCCCGGGATGTTCTCCTGTCTCCGAGCACAGACTATGAGCTCTGGGGATATGAGTAGATGACAGAGATGACACCCCTCATCCTACACCTAGGAAGTAAATGGGGCAGTGCATTTTCATTCATGAAAACAGGCTCTCAGACAGCTTGGTTGAAGATGCTGCAGCGAGCACAGGGGGAGACAAGCTTCTTTAGACAAGAGAAAACCTTTTGTAGTGGTAAACACCCATTTTTTCATGGTTTGTGTGTATAAAAAGATCTTCTGTACTTTCCACAGTATGCATCCGATGAAGTGAGCTGTAGCTCACGAAAGCTTATGCTCAAATAAATTGGTTAGTCTCTAAGGTGCCACAAATACTCCTTTTTTTTTTGCGAATACAGACTAACACGGCTGTTACTCTGAAACCTGTCTTTAGACAAGAGAGTAACTTGTTAAGTTTAGTCTCTAGAAAGCACGTTATGATTTTGTTTTATAAGTAACCCTTTGTTTCCAACTCATTATTTCCTGATGCTTTAGTCTTTGACAATAACCCTGTGGTTTTCACTATCAATATATCGCAATGCTGGGATATCAACCAAGGTGATGACCTGGAGATGAATCACACAAGCTAGGGGGACCACAGACCTGGCATTTCTGAGCGTGTTGGATGGATAAGGGGCTGAACACTGCAGGGGAACGCTTCAAAGGGTCTCGGGGACCGGGGTGCACCTATTGCTAAGCTGTAAGGCAAAGCGAGGGCTGGCAGAGCCCAGACGAGTGTGCTTGCATGGCTAATAGGCTAGTGGTATCAGGGAGCTGACACCCAGCAAAGCACAAGCAAGATGCCCTTTCACTGGAGGCAGGGCGGTAACAAGGGGACGCTCAATCCTGGGTACCCTGAAACAGTCACACCCTACACAGAAGGATTTATAATCTAAATGCATAAGGCATACATAGCATTGGAAGTGAACAGATTAGGTTAGTGGCCTACAGTCACACAGCAGGTCAGTGGTGGGAATAGGAGTCAGGTCATCCTTGTCCTAGTCCTGTGGTTTAACAACCTGTGAACCCCTTTCACTAAAATGTCAAGTCTCATGAACCCCCTCCTAAAAATGAATATTTCCAAGGATTTTCTCCTTTACCGGAGTATAAATTATAAAAGCAGTGATCTTGGAAATATAAACATTTGTTTTTATGACATGCTCATTACACGCTATTATTAACTATTTACCATTACAGTATTTTTATTACATTATGAAAATGGCAACACTCTACCAAGATCTCACTTTCGTAGCTTGTATCACCTTGAATAAGCCTGTTCTAAGACAAGGCTCTTAGGTTTCATTAAGGAGTATCAGATGTGAAACAGCATGAAGGGATTTAAGAAGCCAGCTTAAAGAGTTCCTCGTACACAAGCGTTTAGGTCTTGAGCAGTCCAGGCAAACAATGCACGTTGCAAAAAAACAAAAAAAAAACCAAAAAACCCTTAAATTTGTTCATCATAATTTTAAAAACAATACCAGCTGCCTATTTAATTTTTAAAACAGCAAAAAATATCCACCTCCCTTTCCATTTCTTATAAGGAGTCTTGGTGTTTAAATCTCTTCAGTATGATAGATATGCTTGCTTTGATCTGCTTAGCTCTTGGAAGTCCAGGAGCTCCGGGCTGCTGGCCCCATGCTGCCTGGAGTCCCTGGGGACAGCTCTACCCACCATTTGGGAATTCCCCCCCTCACCCCCTCCCAAGAACCCCTGTAACATTTTGCGAAACCCAGTTTGGGAACCACTGTCCCAGTCCGTACAAAGACCCATCCACTGGACTAGGCGGCCTTCAACTTTCTAAGCTAAGCTCCTGTGTGTTAGAACTTGTTTTGTGATCCCAAACACAGGCTTGCCTAATGGTCTGAGAGAATTCACGTCTCAAGGGAATTTTTATGACCCACGGAATATAAACAAGAGCAAAAAGCACTTCTTGCGGAGAGTCTCTCTCTCTCAGTCTTGTAGCCAAGTTCTCAGCAATGAAAGTCAGCAAAAAGGATCAGTATTTATGAGATATTAGACAGGCATAAGTGATCGAAATCCATAGACTCGGCCTTCCCCCTGCAATATTTCAGATGGGAAGCGGAGGCACAAAGACTAAGGATATGTTTTCATTGCAGCATTAACTCAGGCTCCTGCCACACACAAAAAACCTCTCATCTGAGTTTAGTGGTGCTTTTAAGCAGGCTAGCTGGCCTGGCTGGGGGTGTGGGCTAGAGCTCTGGTTCCACCTTCACTCTGGCTGGCAGCGACGCACCCACTTTGCGGCGAGGACTCAGGCTAAGCCATTTGAATGCTGATAATCCACCAATGCCTTCCCACAATGCCCCCCCTTGCGTCCAGAAGGACAAACAAGTCCTCCCACAATTCACTTGGAAAGAATCATACAGCAGCCCATCTGACTGCAGCACAAAGTGACACATGGGGAAGCATAGCACCGGTGAGGATGCAGTAACTGACACGGCTTTGCAGTGGGGTTGCTCACACCTAAACTAGGCTAACTCAGTTGCTGATCACCCAAGTTAACCCTACAGTGAGGGATCACTGTTAGGGTACGTCTACACTGCAACGTAAGCCCAGAGGTAGAACTCAAGTTAGCAGATCATGGGTTTGTTAACCTAGGGCTTGAGCATCTACGCTCATTTGTAACCCAAGGTTAGGAAGCGTTGAACCCTGGGTCCCAACCTGGGGCTCCAGCATCTACATTGCATTACGCAAGCCCAAGTCCAGTCACCCTTATCCCAGACTTCCTAGCGTCCTCCAAAAAATCTGGCAGCCCTAGCCCTTAGTTCGTGGTGCAACATGAGAAAACTTGACTGTCCAGAGAACAAAAAGTTGGTCCATGGGATGGTGGGATACTTTTGGCAGACTCCCAGAGCATGAGTCCAGTGGGGCTGTATTTACACTGCAAAGCAATAGGGTTTGACTCCTGGGTCCCAGCTTGACTAAGGCTTGGACCCCAAGTTAGAGGAATGTGTGTGTAGCCAGAAAGGGGGGGGGGGCAGCGTTACACTTGAGCCTCAGTTCAAATCCTGAGCTTACACTGCAGTGTAGACATAACCTCAGTGACTTGTCTAAAGTCTGTGGCAGAGGAGGGATATGAACCAGGGTCTCCAGCTAGCACCCTAACCACTGGACCACCATTCAGATGCGTAACACACACCACCAACTTGGATCCTACTGCTGCTAACAATCTTTTTCTCTCCCCAGCCTTTGAATATATTCACTAAGTATCACATCTGCCACCATTTTTTTTTTTTAAAAAAGCAACTTTCTTGTAGGTGTGTCTCATGCCAGTGGGAACAAACAGGGCAAACTGAGTGGAAAAATATACAGAGCAAAAACAGATCAGCATCCACCAAGACAGACAGGAGTTTTCTTCCGCTCTTTCAGTTCTCAGAGTAGCAGCCGTGTTAGTCTGTATTCGCAAAAAGAAAAGGAGGACTTGTGGCACCTTAGAGACTAACCAGTTTATTTGAGCATAAGCTTTCGTGAGCTACAGCTCACTTCATCCGATGCATTCCGATGAAGTGAGCTGTAGCTCACGAAAGCTTATGCTCAAATAAACTGGTTTGTCTCTAAGGTGCCACAAGTCCTCCTTTTCTTTCAGTTCTAGTAACCTGGGTGTTGCCTGTATCAATACTAGGTATAAATTTTCAGATAAAAGTGTAATTGTTAGCTTGACAGTGTCCCTTAGAGAGACTTGCCTGTGGTCACACAGCTAGACCAAGGCAGAGCCATAAAAAGAACCCAGGAGTCCGGTTTCCCCCTCCCCTGCTCTATCCACGACATTGCTTTAGTAATCAACATTCCCTCTAGGGTCATTATCCAGGGTTTTATAGCAACAGTAAATAGACTGGCTAATTCAATTAAAAAAAAATGCATCACGCAGTTCTACTTTTCCAAGGTACTTGGAAGAAAAGTGCAAGTAGAAAATACAGTTGAGGAGGTGACGAATTCGAGGGGGCGGGTAGTGAGAACCATTAAACGTTAAGTCAAGTTAATGGTAAGCTAATCATCAGGCAAACAAGTGGGGTTTTAGACAGTAACAAGAATTAAAAGCCCAAGGGTGGAGAGAAGCACACGGAAACCCAAGGCCTGCTACATAGACTATGCAATA